TTTTGCGAGATCTCGCAAAAGTCCGTCTTAATTTTTTTTTCTCCCATGTCCCCTGCGGGGCTCCGTAATTCATAGATTTCTATTTATGCAAAATAATTTTACCTGTGTTCATGTTGCTGTGTATTTGTGTGTGGGTTGGCAAATGCATTTGTGAGAAGTCAAAACACACAAATCATTGTGCAGATTTGTAAATCTTAGTTTATGTTCATGGATCATACCATATGCTTTTGTAAACATTTCCAGACTAATTTTACACCACTGAAATATGAGAAAGCACTCGCTTAGGAGGAATGACAACTGGTAGTGCAACAGCGCTTAAAGAGCTATCAGTTGACACCTCACAGAACACATAACAGGCTGTTCAAAGATATCAACACTGGAGTGGACGACAATACTCCGGTGGAATGAGCTTTAGTGTTCACAAGGATTAACTCTTCTTTTATTATCTTTAGCCTAAGGAAACGTTGTTCAAAGAAAGGTGGTTTAATGTAGGTAGAGTATAATAATCCCTAGCAGCCTGTCTCCAAGGTTTACTTTACTTCTTTAGACTTTACTGTCTAGCACATGAGCACACCTGCAGAGAATCACATTATCACCGAGTCCTAGAAGTCACAACCTAAAAATAAGTAAATAAATATATAAAATATCTAAGCGTGACCTCACACATCTTCTGGGTTTCTAATTTTCTTCTATTTGAGGTTTTAAAAAAATAAAAAACACAGCTCTAGCTCACACTAGCCCCACCCACCTGCCAATCAAATGTTTGTTTGTCAGGGGTAACCAATGAGAAGAAAGCTGGTGTAAAGATAGGTGGAAGCTGATTAAAATGACAGTGGATGAACTGAGGGGCTGCATCATGGTCCAGTATAAGATTTAGGCACTGGTCGATTCACCATCTCTGGGTGTAGGTTTCCTTTTTTTTCATTCAAAGATGGGATAAGACTTTAGGCCCAAGTGTAGATTATAAATGACTGAATGAGATTGCCATTAAAAACTACGTCCTACCTCTGATTAGTCCCCCTTGTTGAGAGACTGCAGGGCGCTGAATATGTTTACCAAACTGAGTCTGTGATGTGCCCACTGTCTAGTTTGCATCAATGAAAAAGGTGAATGAAAAACAGCATTTTGGAGTCTTTCATTTGATCACACCTTTTGGACTCACTTTTTAATATTTAATAATGTCCTCCATTATTAGCCAT